GGGTTGTTTGGGATGTCTTAAATAAGTGTATTTTTTGTCTTTTTATGAAAAGATGTACAGAAAAGTAAAGAGGTGATATAATGGAAAAAAAGATAAAAAGATGAATTATTTTTAGGTTGTCAAATTTAGCCTTAATTTTCAATTTGTATTCCGAAAATAATTGTAGTATGTTCTTGTTTGGCTAGTGAGAAATAGGGAGAAAAATCAAGTGGCCTAATTCTCGACTACGAACCAAAAATCTTCACTAAGCTTAGTTTATTTAAAAAGGGGGGAAAAATGGAAAACAGAAAATCATGTGAAAATGTTTATGTATGTTTTAAATCCAAAGCAACACTCCGTCTATAAAGAAAATCTTAGGAATTGATAAACCTAACTAGATCTATGAGATGCAAAATCAAAACCATAAAAACTATGTGGTTCACTCTCCATGGTTTCATTATGATCTGACAGAGTTATAATAAAATACAGAGAGATGTGGTACTGCTACTATAAAATATAATGTAATATTAGGGTAATAGGACAGAACCATGAAATATGGAACAAATTTTTATCAAGATCCACCCTCCCTAACAAATCTAAAGCAACACAAACCAGAAAACACAAGGCCCTAATTTCTGTTCTTTTTTTTTTTTTTTTTTTAAATTTCTTTTCCCCCTTTTTGGCGGTATTTTCATTTTCTTTAGTTTTATTAATTAGCAATGAAAGTGTATTCACAATCCTGATTGTTTGGCTTCATCTATGAACAGTTAATTATCCTTGTTGACTACTTTTTTTCAACGACTAATCCAAAGAACTTAAATTAATATTTATGACAGGGAAGTTACAGTGCTGAAAAATCCAATAATCAAGTGGCCTCATCGCCACCATTTTTTTGTGGGTCTCCACCCAGCAGGGCTTCAAACCCTATAATCCAAGACTCGCAATTCGGCAACATGTTTAGTCCATTACTGCAGGCACCCATTCTGCCAAAATCTCCATCCTCGTCCGCACGCAAAGGAGGATCATGCGTTTGGGTGAAATCTGGTCACAAACAGGCCACTGTGAGAGTCGAGGGGTTCGATTGCTTAAACCGAGATCGCAGAAGCATATCCGTTGTGGCATAAAAATAAAAGTAAAAAAAGCAAAAACACCCTCCAAAAGCCGGAGGGGGGAGGCAAGAAGATGAATTTTGGGGAGAAGAGGACTTGTAACATTGTTTTGTTTTTTTTTATTTTTTTATATCCCCTTTATTCGCTCACCGATTCCCACGCCTTCTGATATTTCCACTCTTTCTTTTATTTCCTTTGATAATAATTTTAGAAATCCTTAAAGAAAAAGCCATGAATTGTTTCTAAACGCCCTGAACTAACTTTTTTTGTTTGTTTAAGAAAGGGCCCTGAACTAACTTATTTGTTATAATTGTTTTACAGAGTAATGTTCTGATAACATTGACAATATTAAATTATACCCTAATTTCTTGACAATGCCACCAATGTATTAGTAACCCTGTAATTCAATCATTTCCACCTTAGCATTTGTTCAGATTTCAATTGAACAATTTCAACTTTAAATTTGCAAATAGTTATTATAATTGGATTTAAAATCCAAGGGGAAGGATTGAAGCAGATAAGTTTTATATGATTCTTGAACATCATTCTTGAACAACAAAATCTTCCCTATAATAAAGCTTTTTTAACCTTATATTTGAAATCAATTCATAGTCAATAACCTAAATTCTTCCATCTCTCTTTTATATATATAAATGTGAAACTTTAAGGCACAATCGTTGTACGATTAAAATCAAATGCATTCATTTCATATTTATAAATCCAAATGCAGACTTAAAATATTTTGAATATTTAGAGCTTAAATGTATAATTTACCGAGCCAAAATGAATCTTCCTTAAGCAGGGGCTTATATTATTGTATTGACCCATTCTTATGATGCATAAAGCATTTGAAATTCTAGTTTCAAGATAAGAACTAATTCCACCTTCAACAAAAAATAATCGAAATTGAAGGTGAAAACAATGTGATAAGGCTCACACTTTTCAAGTTCTCCAAAGATTCCAAAGCAAATAAACCATGCTAATCATGGAAGAAAATTCCAACTCAAATGGGTAAACTAAAGGCCTCGGGGCCTGACGGTTTCATTGTGGGGTTTTATAAAAAATATTGGAGTATTGTTGGACCTTCGGTCGGGGCTCAACGGTTTTATTGCTGGATTTTATAAAAGATATTGGAGTATTGTTGGACCTTCGGTTGTTGAAGCAATGCTGGCGTTTCTCTAGTCAGCTTATTTGCTTAAGAAGTTCAATAAAACTTTCATTTGCTTAATCCCGAAGATTAAGGACCCAATGGCTGTTAATGACTTTAGACCGATTAGTCTTTGCAATGTGATTTATAAAATTGGGTCTAAGGTGTTGGCCAACAGATTGCTCGAGGTGTTGCCTGATTTAATTGCCTCTAACCAAAGTGCTTTTCTTAAGGGTCGTATTATTTTTGATAATATTTTGATTGTCCATGAGTTGATTGAATTTATTAGACATACTAATAAAGGGCGTAAAATGTTTTTTGGATTAAAGTTGGACATGAATAAAGCCTATGATCGTGTATGGGATTTAGTGATCATTGGGTTCAGCTGATACACCAATGTATTTTCACAGTTACTTTTTCTGTTTTAGTCAATGGTCAACCCTCAGAATTTTTTACTCCACAAGCTGGGTTTAGGCAAGAGGATCCTTCGTCGCCTTATTTGTTCATTATTGTTATGCAAGCATTATCTGAGGGGTTAAATCATTTTGCACATAAAGGTATTTGTAGATGTATTGTTATTAGTAGGCATTCACCTCCAGTTTCTCATTTAATGTTTGACGACGATTGTTTTTTATTTATGCAATTTAAAGGAGAGGAGGTATGGTGTTTACAATGGCTTTTATATGTTTTTTGTGAGCAATCTGGGCTAAGAATTAATATTACTAAGTCTGAGTTGTATACAAGCCCCAATTTTAGTGGCCGAGAAAGCTACGTATTGGAATCTATTTTTAGATTTAAAGTGGTACTCAATCCTGGAATTTATTTGGGAGCGTCTTTGAATTTGTCTGGGAGGTCTAAAGGTGAGGTCTTTAAAATTCTGGTTGATAAAATTTCACAGAAGTTGCAAGGATGGAAATGTCGTCTATTAAATTTTGTTGGTAGATGCATTATGGTTAAACATGTGTTGCAAGCTGTCCCCATATATATAATGTCTGTTTTTAAACTTCCAAGTGGGGTTCTTCAAAAGATGAAAGCCATTATTCGTCGTTTTTTATGTCAATCAGATTTGAGCCATGGGGTTTTCTGGAAAAAATGGGATAGTTTGTGTTTACCTAAGGAGGGAGGGCTTGGCTTGCGCGATTTGGGTTGTTTTAATCAGGCACTCTTAGCAAAGCAAGCTTGGCAGTTAATTTCCAATCCGAATTCTTTGTTTGCTACAGTGTTTTTAGGGAAATATAGCTCCCGAAATTTTTTTTTCTTGAAGTTACGTGTTCTAAAGCTGCGTCTTGGGGATGGAAGTTTGGCAGAGCTGTGGGAAAATGATTATAACTTATAGTTTAACAGCTTATAGCTTATAACTGTGAACATAAGCTGATTTTTGACTTATAAATTAAGCTTTTCCTCCCCCACTCAAAGAATAAGTTGATTTTTGACTTACAAAAAGTTATAACAAAAAGCTATAAGCTGTATTGTTAAACTGAATCAAACACATCAAAATAACTTAAATTAAGCTAAAAGCTGAAATAAGTTGAAATATGCCCTACTAAACAGGGAGGGTAGGGATTTGTTGAAGGGAGGGTTAGTTTGGAAGGTTGGGAATGGACACTCTATAAACCCATTTGAGGATTCTTGGATTCCAGGGCAAATCAATCCAGTGCGAGGTATAGGGCTTTCCAAATATTTTCCAACAATGAAAGTGGCACATTTGATAGACTTTCCAAACAATTGTTGGAGAGGTGATATGCTCGCTTGGTTATTTCCAGCAACAGTGCTCCCCTTGATATTAGGAATACGCATTCCTTTAGTTTTTTGCCCAGATAAATTGGTATGGACCAACAATAAAAATGGGATTTTTTCGGTGAAATTGGGTTATTGGTCTGCTATTAAATGTAGATAGGAGCGTAATCATTGCGGAAATGAAATTGATCTGTTAGTTTGGAAAAAATTGTGGAAGATAAACTTGCCTTCTAAATTGAGTTTATTTCTTTGGAAATGTCTTCATAACATTCTTCTGGTACAATGGCAGCTTAGAAGGAGAGGCATACCACTTGATACATTATGTTCTAGATGCGGTCAAACTGAGGAAACAAGAGAGCATGTTTTCTTTGAGTGTCCGTGGTCTCAACGTGTATGGAGGGACACAATTTTGGTATTAGATTTCTCGATAGGTCACACCGTTGGGTTTACTACCTGATGGACGGAATGAGTTAAAATAGTTCATGAGGATGAGATCATTCTCCATTCCATAGCCATTCTTTGGACAATTTGGAGACAGCATAATATTAAGGTTTTTGAAAATGAACAATTGTCAATCAAACAGACCTTATGTCTGGTTGATGAATTTAAATTGCAATGGTCCACCAGCAACATAGATGTAACCAATGCTAGCTCGGACTATACGCATTTACAGCTGAATATTTCATCATCTAATAACTGTTGTGTTATTGTAAATAATTGTGTGGCTTTTGATGATTTTCAGCTTTTTACTTGTGTGGTGGATGGAGCATGGCAGCAGAGTAATGCAGCAGCGGGCCTAGCATGGGTTTGTTTTGATGAAGATCAAATGCAGGTATACCAATGAGGGATATCCACTTGGCTGTCCTCACCATTATTGGCAGAAGCAAGAGCTCTTTTGGAGGCTATTAATTGGGCTGTCACGATGAAGATTAAATGTCTATCTATTTTTACTAGTTGTAAAGTTTTAGTTGATAACTGTGAACAAAAACGTAGTTTAGATTGTGAGATAGATTTAGTAGTGCAAGATATTTTAGTTTTAAGTTTTGCCTTTCTATATCTATGTGTAACTAAAGTGGACAGGGTGTTGGTCGAACCAGCACACAAACTTACAAAATCTGTAACTGTTTTACCCTATGGCCAATATATATGCTATTTCATTTTGTGCTCAAAAAAAGCAAATAAACCATGAGAAGCGCGAATTGAACCCAGGTTTCTCAGTTCCCCTTTAAAATGTCATAAAATGACATAGGTTTCTTCTTAGTCTCAGCACAGAGTTCCTGAAAATGCCAAAGGCCATTTTAAATTAGTAATATACTTGCAATATTACAGATAGGGGCCTATTTTGGGGGTGAAATAGTAATATATACCTCTACTGCAGCAGCCAAGCGCAAAATTGTAGCTTCACCCCATGGCCGGCCTATTAGTTGCAAACCTATTGGCAGGCCTTGCTTATCGTAGCCAACCTGAACATTGGAATGTGTTGTAGAAGAATGAGAAACCGACTAGAGCACTTGTTCAAAATAACATTCTACTAATCTAGAGCAAGTGACAAGAGGAACGTGACATTTGCATTGTTGAAATACGTAATACTGAATGAAAAAAAATATTGAACATACAGCTCTAGTCATGCAAGCAAAATGTATGACTTTATATTTACTTGTGATTTTAGATTCTATTGCCTGTTGCTACAATACTAGAAGCCAGAGTTAACCTTGTTGAATACTTTGTAATCATTAAGCAACGGAAAAGATGGATATAACTTACAGGGACAGAAATGGCCGGGAGTCCAAGAAGATTTCCTGCTATAATAAATCGCATGAGATTACCTGCAATAAGACCACAAGCATAATTATTGTCCAACAAAATAAAAGCTGCGAAATACAGAGCTGTGGTATTAGCAACAAGGGACACAACTAGCTCATAAGTAGCATAGGAAAATTCAGATTCGGTCCATCTTATGCTGCAAAAGCTTATGATCTGGAATTGTCCAAGCATACAACAATTTATAGTCTATTTTGAGCATTTCTTTTTTCCCCATTCAGATGGATCAATGACTCGATATGAGATAAAAATATTTTATGTCGTTATGCTTGCCCTGTCAAACAAGAAACAAATATTAGCTATCGTTATAAGCTATATCACATTCCCAGTGACATTTTAAATGTGTAAGACTCTCAAATTCCATAAAACCACTCATGCATGCGGTGCTCTCATCATCCTATGCAAAAAACAACATTTAGGACTCTGGATAATTACAAAATTAGTACATGTAGAAGGACAAAGTTTGGATGGAGTACTAAAAATGAATGTTTTTCGATCGCATGGTACATTCATCAAAGGTGATTGTAGAAGGAAATTCCTAGTATGACATTAAAGTTTCAGAAATGTGACATAATTTTTTCATATGCAAGCTGAAAAGTATAATCAACTCACCTGTAACCTGCAAATTTGTCTCCCCACATGCAAGTGCTTCCCGAGGTATTACAGGCGCTGTCATGCTGGCAAATCAGAGAGTGCATCATCTCACTTATAATTTGCTTAAAAGATTTTCATGCATGACAATAAATAAATATAGTTGCTGAGACAAAAAGCAATTGTTACTTCTACTATAGATGTGTATGCAATATGAATGAGGATTGCTTAGCATCCCCCACACTGAAGTGATTTTAGCAGGTTTCAGTAAAAAAAAAAAAAAAAAATGGACAAAAAATACCCTCACAAAAATAGCAAGTGCCTACAACTTTGTTCGTGTGTTTTTTACATATTTAGTGAAACCTCAAAATAGTGATAAATAAAATGAAGTTCAAAACCCAAAAGAAACTACCAAAACCTGGAACAAGAAGGGACCAAGCATGTATTGTAAAAACACATTAATTACTGCCTATAGCAATAAGTGAGCTTATCATACCCAGTTGTTGGGGTCACTATGACATCAACCTTCTTGAAGATCTCCGTATGGTAATACATTATCCTTCGTCTGTGCAAAACAAGACAAAACTGAAATAGTCTGTCTATGAAATAAACTATGTCACAAGAAATCTTGTATGTTTCCATTAATCAAATTCTAGACAAAATGCCTTATTTTGGCAAGAAACTTTGTACAGAACATGTTACTACCAAGTAGAGCATATTCTGGTGAAACTACCAACAAATATTAACCATATAATTGAGCTGAATATAATACAGGAAACAAGATCCAATAAAAATGAAAAGAAGAAAGAGTGGTTGTTGGGGATGAATCAATTACAAGATTGGGTGAAAGGAGACAACACTTCCAGTTTTCATCTTTTCCAGGCATGAATTATTTAAGTACTCTTATAGTTAGTTGGGTTCCAATACCACAGGCCAATATATCTGTGGTATAGTAAATCATATCATAGCTACGTTAGCCATTATATACCCATTCCGTCCTGTATCAATCATTACAGTGCATTACACATGAATTTCACAGGTTTCCTAGTCCCGACACTTCCATGTCTCATTTTTAACAATTTTATCTATTCAAAAACAATAAGCTAGGTCTTGCTTTGAGGCATGGAAATAACAAGATATGAGCTCAAGTCTTTGCATTGAAGACTTCAGAGATCAAATATTATGTCACCATATTGAATTACAATCTGTTTTTGGTAGTTTATTCAGCTGCATCATCAATGGATATTTGACCACATATGCTTATACCTACCAACTTAAATCTGACCCTAATCATAAAATGTAGGGAATGGCTAATGATGAAAAGTATGAATAATAAAATATTTCCCCCAATTTCCTACCAACATTGGCTTAAAGAAATCGATAAACAACGATTATCAAAAAGTCACGTCTTAAGTGGCTAAAAATTTACCAAAATCTTTGACATTTAGAAAAGTAGGCTTAATCATTTATATGTTTTGCTTTTAAGAGTTAAATAATGAAAAGAGAAAATTCACAGCTTAGATAACCAATTCCCATTACGAATTGACAATGCACCTGACAACCCTAAACTGAGAAGTAGGACCACAACCATTACTTAGACTGGTATTGTTTATATAAACCATGGAACTGTTAATCTACAATGGATAAAATGAGAACATCAATGTATCATTAGATAGTCCACCTCCTTTAATGCACTTTCACCTTTTATTCTAGGGAAAAAAGGCAGAATTTTCGACGTCAACTACACACTTCAATTACATAGACATGAAAATCATGTAGTAAAACAGTAACAGAAACTTTGCATCGAGAAAAAGCTTCAAAGTCTTTTTATGTTATCATCATTATAATTTTGTGCTAAATCGTACAGCACTATTTTGTTGTCAGCTGCACAGATTGCATGCTTTATGCTAAATCTTCCCATTCAAGGTGACATCTTCCATTAGTTTGTTAGCTTTCAGACCCCCATTCTTTCTGAGGACTTGTGAGGAAAAGACATAACCAAACCAAACCAAACCAAACCAAACCAAGCCATGCCTTAAGTCCCATCAAATGGGGTCGGCTACATGAATCCTTCTTCTCCATGCGGCCCTATCAAAGGTCATTTCGTTAGTCAAATTAAGTAGATCCATATCTCTATTTACAACGTTAGCCAACGTTAATCTAGGCCTACCCCGTGCCCTAACACTCCCCTCCACTTGTGAAGAAAAGACATGGAAAAAAAAATGAACATCTAATCTAGAAAGGGTAGTACATTTTAACAGCTAAACCATTATTAACAGCCCAAACAAAAGGAATGCATTGATACAGTAACATCTAAAGTTGTCCACAAAAATGCATATTTTCAGTTAATATTCTGTTACCTAATACGCTGGGCAGCAACATACTCTGAAGCTGTGAATGACTGGAACAGAGCCAGATTAGTGCGAGTGTCATAAGTAAGTTTCACACCATTCCTATACAAAGAAATAAGATAAATCTAATATAATGCAAATTATGATATGATCCTCAGAGATTAACAGAAAGTTGGAAATGCTATTTCCACAGCCTTTTCAGCTGCGTCCAGAGTCTTTCTACAGAAAGGGCTATTTTCCCTTTAGAAGGCTGTAGATGCAGCAAAAAAGTTTGTGAAAAACCAATCTGATATGCAATAATGCAACTGACAAAAAGGCAGAGACATGTACCCGTCCTCACAGACAGGTGCTAACCCGCATAGTGCTTCGGAACCAATTGAAACAAGATGAGCCATGCGCATCTCATGCAGCTCAGGTATTACAATCTCTATTGTCTTGACCAATGAAAACGAAAACAATTAAATTTAGAGTAGAGTAAATATCAATACACATTAAACCTGATAGTGATGTAAAATTTCTTCTATATCATGAAACAACCACCATGAATGGGGAAGATAACAAGAAGCACATAACAGGGGTAATGGACTTACTTTGCACCCATGCTTTTCCAATAGCAGCTTAAGGATGTTGCCACACTTCTGAGAAATATCGGTTGAGAATACATCGTTAAACCACTGCACAAGAAAAGCCACAAACAAATGAAATAATATCCAAGAATAAAGAGATTAAGCATATTTTCAGTACATGTAGAAAACAATCACCTCTGTATACTTCCCTAATCGCAGTGCTCCCAAAGCATTTGAGCTCTCATGTGATGACAAATTGGGCAAACAGGGGAGGGACTACAAAAGATGTGTGAACAGTGACGGACAGTATAATATATAACATGCAGAACAGAGATTCATACTTGGAAAAAAAAATTCCAAACTTCAGCCTTGTAAGTTAAAGAAAAAAACACTCAGTTGTTTAACTCGTTTGGTCTGTGTCGGTGTTCATTTGCCCACAACCAACTGGCTCGGTTCAGTGAGAATTTTGCCTAGTATCCTGGGGCTAGCTTTCCAAGGCCCCTTTTAAAAGGGAGAAAAACAGGAGAAGAAGAGACCAAAACCTCAATAATGTGCAATCCAAAAGAATCAATCATAATCCTTGCTGAATATAATTAAACTGCTTTAGTCTAACAAGTCTTTCTTTGTTATCAGATAGGACACTTGGAAGGTAAGGTTGAGTAGTGTGTCCTTTTCTTCATTCAAAGCACAAGTCAGGAAAAGTTACCATAAGCTCTAATCCAACCTGGAAAAAAAAAACTGTGACTTCTTCTCATATCATCAATTTGATTTGGCTGTAGTTACACTTTGTTTGGTAGCTACCTTATTTTCTACCACAACAGTCCGTTGGACTTGCATGAGTAAGCATATAGCTAGCGGATAAAGAAATTTTTATACTTCTGTTGCACATTTTTCGATTAAGAACTTTTTATTGATACTTACTTGGGGTGGGTTAAAGGACCTTTCATAGGATGGGTTCTCGGTCACCAAAAAGAAAACTTAAATACAGGGCATGTAGTCAGAATATCGTATGTACAAACAAGATGGGGGATTATTAGCACAATGTATGCCCAAGGCATTCCTAGAAATCCTAAATATTGCTCATGAAGCATGTTGTAAAGATGAGAACACTATCTTTTTCATCCATAGAAGGCAGTACTTGGTTGATTTACATGACAATTGAGCTGAGCCTTAAATTTAAGGAAGGATAGCAGGGTTGAAGTAGTTACCGGTCTTAAACTGATTCTATCAGAAGGAGAGGAGCCCAAAACTGTGGCATACCTGAAGAAATAAATAACAATAAATCAAGAGAGTCTAAAGCTTCCTATTTTCTGATGGTTATGCACTTAAAAATTGAGTACTTCTCTTCATTGTCATCAAGACAACAGTCCAAGTAACAAGAGTTCAAAGAACATTGGTCACTTTATAATGTTGTTTTATGTGGATTTGGAAACTTTAATTTAATTAGCATGAGATTAGTAGTCCTGTTTCAATTTCTTTTGGAGAATCTTTTCGTGTTTTTTAAGCCTCTCAAAGCATGAATATCAAGTTACGAGTGTTAAAATAAGACGGTATTACGACCTTAAAATAAATAAACAAATAAAACCTAGATTATTATTCTAGTATCTCATATTATTGATGGAAGTTTTCTGAACCCTTCATCATCACTGGTATTAAACAAACATTTCTAAAATTGTTGACTCCTCAACTGCAAGCTTCTGATAAATTCTATATCTTACTATACAAGTTGAAACAGAAATTCATGCATGTCCCTCATCACAAAAAGCTAATCCAAATACGGATATATAATACTTGATAACACAACATACATTGGGAGTAGAGATAGGACAAACTTGTAAGGCAATCTATTTAACTAACGTCAAGTGATGAACCATACAAGACAGCTAGAAGTTAAAAGAATAAATGAATGGCCATGCATGCATGAAACGCTTACACAAGCATCAGATCCTCCACGTTTGACGCAATTGGTCCTATAATTTCCACAGTGCCTGCATCACACAATGACCTACAAGAGTAGACGTGTAGAAGATTAGAAGTGGAAATAATCCAGCAAGTGTTCAAAAGCATATCTTTCTTCAACATAGAAATGCTTGCGATAAAGAACTGCTGATCATAAAAGACAAGACAGATTCTCTTTCTTTAGTTGTAAGGTATATTGCACAGATCTACATGGCTCCAGCACTGGGTTAGGCAGGTATTGTAATGTAGATTGTATTGTGAAACTCCACTAGATCATCTATTACACAGGAATCAGGATTGTGAATAACCTTGGCCAGAATTTTACTTAAAGCAAAGAGTTAACTGGGTTCTCCATTACAAGTCACAGGAAATATTAGCCTGGCGTCAGATGAGGATTTAGGTTATATGATTGCTGAGAACTCCTAAATTTTAATTAGTACTAGAAAGGGGAGACAGTGAGATCGTCTGACCCTGCGCGAGGAAAACTTAAACTAGAACAAATGGGAAGGAGCAATGTGCCACACATAAAAGACTTTAAAGAATTGGTGGATGCCAAAAATATGAGGATATATACCTTGTAAACAAATTATGAGTGAATCTTTTGTATTAATAATTCATTCAAAGGCAAAAACACGCTGATGATGATATACACAAAACCAAAGCATTCTAAGTAGTAGGCTGGTCAATAAATTTGGTGCTTATCTCACTGACAAGTTCTTGAAAATTATCCAACAAAATCCAGAACTCAAATTTATAAGTACTGTTTTTACAACTGGTGTTGGAAATTTTACCACCAGCATATAAGCAAGCCTAGATTATTTGCACTCTTATTCAAATTGGCATGCTGAAAATAAGTTTACATAACTAATCTTCAGGCAGATGTCACAGATTTCCTCTTTGTGGGCTGTAACACTAATTTATTCGCACCCATACTAAAGCAGTAGATGTCTTCTTTTTTTTAAAAAAAGATAAACAGGATCATAAACGTCCACAGCCTACCCAATACTCCAAATCATATGAAGCATACTCTTATCACGTACAAAAAAGATATTGACATATAAGTGTGAGCATGTGTAAACAAAACTTATAAAAAAAAAAAAGTG